TATTTATAAAGACAGGATTATATAGATATACCTATCTATATCTATAGATATATCTGTCTATACATCTATTTATCTGTATATGTATATCTATGTCTCTAGATACATATAACGAGAGGCGGGGTCTCACTATGTTGTCCAGGCTGGTCTGGAACTCCTGGCCTCAAGTGGTCTGCTCACCTTGGCCTCCCAAATTGCTGGGATCACAGGCATGAGCCACTGTGTCCAGCCTTGAAGCCCATTTCTTTATGCCCCACTTTGCATGTGTGTGTGTGTGTGTGTGCGTGTGTGCATGTGTGTGTATTTAAACATTTCTAAAGTGGCTTCTAGCCAGGCATAATGGTTCATGCCTGTAGTCCCAGCTACTTGGAAGGTGAGATGGGAAGACCGCTTGAGACCAGCAGGTTGAGGCTGCAGTGAGCCAAGAGTGTGTCACTGCAGTCTAGCCTATACAACAGAGTGAGACCCTGTCTCAAAAAATAACAATAAAGGGCTTTCCCTTTGCTGAGAGCATATGCCATCAGATGTCAGGGTGGAAGGAGCAGAAGCAGGTCCCTCAGGGCATGTTATGAAACTGCTCTGTGGCACGTGCTGTCTCTGCCAAGCAGGGTTCCATGTCACCCTATGGAACTCTGAAGAGATGCACAAGTTTAAGAGGATGTGGGTGTCTGACCTTCAGAGTGATGCAAAAACCAAGTCATCATTTTCCTCAAAAGTCTAATGTGGTGTCTCTGACCACAGAGCGAAATGACCATCTAGGAGCAGATGACAGTGGATGAGGTCAGGATTCCAAAGTTCCGTTTTCCATAAATCCAGGTGTCTTTCTTGAAAATGACTGTAGGAAACACGGCTAGACAGGGGCCCAGGGGACAGGGAGGCTGCGGGAGTGACGTGGACCTTCCTCCTTCGTGGAATTTGGGTGGGCTCCCCCAGTGGGGGCTGGGCCACATTTCATGTGAAGCATGGAAATCCTTGTGGGCTACCACCCATGTTTTACATCTCCAGGTCTTGGCAGCCCCAAATGTGGCTTCACCCCAAAGATTGGGCTCTCAGCCTCCGGTCCAGTCCCAGAGGCAAGCCGAGTGGGTCTCCCCACTCCCTCCAAAGACAAGGCAACTGGTGTCCGAGTCATCCTCTGAGTGTAAACCCATTTCCTAAGCAAAAGCCCCTCCATCATGGAAAACCATCCACGAGCCATGGTACTCCCCAGGCTGCCTGTGGGACCCAGGAAGGCCTGCATGAAGTCAGGAGTGGAGCTTGTTGGGGGCCCGCTACTTATCAACTCCTGTGCTCCCGCCTGGGCGACAGAGTGAGACTCTGTCTCGAAAATAAATAAGTAAATAAGTAAGTAAATAAATAAATAACCTGATCCTGTCTTTATCTAGACTTTAAAAAATCTCTTGCTCATGATGACTTGTCTGTATTAATCTGTATTTTAAAAAACACTGCACTAAAATATTATTTATGTTGAGTACTGTTTTTTTTTTTTTTTTTGACACCCCTCATTAAATTTTGCACACACAGCCTCACCCTAGTCCCTGGCCTGAGCCACATCCGCTTTCCCCAGGTCTCCCATTTTATTTTGAGACAGGGGCTCACTGTCACCTAGGCTGGAGTTCAGTGGCATGATCATGGCTCACTGTAGCCTCAACCCACTGGGCTCAAGTGATCCTCCTGCCTCAGCTTCCCAAGTAGCTGGGACTACTGGCATGTACCACCGCGACTAGCTTTTTTTTTTTTAAATTGTAGAGATAGGGTCTCCCTATGTTGCTCAGGCTGGTTTCCAACTCCTGGTCTCAGGCGATCCTCCTGCCTCGGCCTCCCAAAGTGCTGGGATTACAGGCTTGAGCCACCACTCCAGGTCCTGGATACTTTTAATTTTGCAGCTGGAGAAGGGGACACAAGGGGAAGGAGGATTTGTTGAAATTAAAGCGCACTGCGAGAAAGAATGGGTCACTAGCATCCTCCTTTTGCCTGCGCGGGGGGCCCCTGGCAGCACCCCCTCCCTCGCCAAGCCCAGCCTCTGCGCAGGCTCCAGGAGACGCTGCTCCGGGGTCCTGCGGTGGACACCGGGCTGCACCCCCGTCGGTCGCACTTGGAGCAGATTCGGGTTCTGGGGCTGGGGAAGCATAAACCCGGGCTCCAAACCCTCCTGTAAGGCTCTTCAGGGCGCCAGCTCCGCAGAGGCAGGAGCCGCCGCACACGTGCGCGCCCGAAACTGCCAAAGCCCACTCGCGAGCTTGACCGCCGCGCCCGGGGGCCGCTCCCCACGAGCTGACCTGGCTGACCCAGCGCCGCCGCTGCGCCTGCAAAGGGCGGCCGCATCCTGTGGCCCCGGGGCGGCCCTCCTCGTCACGGAGCGGACGTCCCCGCCGTCACCTCCTCTGCCCTCGGTCGGGAGGACGCCCCCCCACTGCACTACCGGGCCGAGCTGGGCAGACCCCCGTCCTCCCACCTAGGGGCTCCTCGTTCTGCTCCCTCGTCTCCCTCTGCTCTCCGGCCGCTTCTCCTCGCCCTCATCTCTGGGACAATTGTTTCAGCCCTGGAGTGTGTCCGAGCACGAGCACCTTCTCCTCCTCCCTGTTCCCCATATTTAAAAAAAAAAAAAAAGTCCCATCCTAGCCCGGTCTGTGGTCTCAGCTACTCCAGAGGCTGCCGCGGGAGGATCGCTGGAGCCTGGGAGGGGAAGGCCGCTGCAGTGAGCCGTGATTGCGCCACTGCACTCCAGCCTGGGTGACAGAGCAAGACCCTGTCTCAATCCATCCATCCATCCATCCATCCCATCCTAGCCGGCTCTGTGGTCTCAACTACTCGGGAGGCTGCAACTTACTGGTCACAGGAATGACCCAAGGCACTAGATAAAAATTCAGATTCCTGCAGACTCTGATTCGGAAGGTCTGAGTGGTGGTGTCGGGGGAGAGGTGACGGCGCCCCAGAAGTCTGTATAACTGACAAGCAGAAGATTCTAATGGAGAAACTGGGCTAGAATCAGTCACTGACTGTCCTTGCTTGAGCCCTGGAGGTTGAGGTTGCAGGGTGCTGTGATCGTGACACTGCACTCCAGCCTAGGCGGCAGAGCAAGACCCTGTCTCAAAAAAAAAAGAAAGAGGAAAAGGCTGGGCGCGGTGACTCACGCCTGTAATTCCAGCACTTTGGGAAGCCGAGGCGGATGGATGACGAGGTCATGTGATGACATGAGGTCCAGACCAGCCTGGCCAACATGGTGAAACCCAGTCTCTACTAAAAATGCAAAAATTAGCCAGGCGTGGTGGTGCACGCCTGTGATCCCAGCTACTCAGGAGGCTGAAACAGGTGAATTGCTTGAACCTGAGAGGCAGAGGTTGCAGTGAGCCAAGATCAGGCCACTGCACTCCAGCCTGGATGACAGAGCAAGACTCCGTCTCAAAAAAGAAAAAAAGAAAAAAAAAAAAAAAAGAAAGAAAAAGAAAAAAAGAGGAAAAAAAAATCCCTTCCTTCCAAGGATCACTGCCTCCTTTTCCTTCCCTTCGCTGTCAAACTGCTCTCTAAGCTTTGTCCAGGCTGGCTGACCCGCCGTCATCAAAACCCTCCAAGTACTCTTTCTAAATCAAGGGAATTTTTGTGTTTCTGTAATTTCGAACTTAAAGACATTGCAAGAATATGACCAAGAACTCCTACAAACCCTGTGCCTAGTTTCTCCATGGGGGTGCGTTTTGCCACACTGGCTTTATCACTGTCTCCAAATAGATAAGGATTTTTTTCTAAACCATTTATGCAAGTAAATTGCGGAGGTCATGTCTCCTATCTCTAAATACTTGGTCATGTCTTTTACTGAGGACAAGGACATTCATGGCACAGTTAGCAAAAGAAAAAGACTTTTAAGGATCCCCAGTGACCTCTGAGCTGCCCAACTCAAGGGCCTTTCTGCTCCTTGGTCTCTGGGTCTCTGTCCCCCGTCCCTGTCTGTGTCTCTGTCCCTCTGTCTCTGTCCCTCTGTCTCCCCCGATTCTCCCCTTCCATGGGCGCCTCTCTGCCTGCCCCTGCGAGGTGGGTTTCTCCAGGTCTTGTTTTCCGTGTTGTTTTACAGCCCCTCCCTGGAGCAGGCCGGGGACCCCAGGATATCAGCTGTCATCCACGCTCAAGCAGCATCAGATCTTCAGCCTCAGCCCCCTTCCCCTTTCTACCTGAATTTCCATGCCTTTCCAGGAAGCTCTGCTTGAATTCCTCACAGTTCTACTCGTTGTAAACTGGAAACAGTCCAGGTACATCGTCCCTGTACCCCCAACATCCCCGGCCCTGCCCAGGGGCTCTCCAAGAGGGAAGCCTCCCTCACCTTTCAATCCTGCGCCCCCCCATGGCCCCCATGCTGCACTCTCCTCCTTCCTGACCTCACCCACCTCCTCCATTTCCTCAAAGGCCCCCTGCTTCAGTTCCCAACCTCACTGGCTTCTAAGCCCCGGTTAGCCGGTCCCGCACCTGCCTGGTCTCTGCACCGCCGCGGGATGAGTTGGCTTTCTGATCCCATCAGGCCCTCTCGGTTGAAATCACTGTCCCGAGGTCCTTCCACTGGGTTCCGGAGAGCTGTTCTTGGGTCTCTGAAAATGTGTTCAAATGTCAGGGGAGGGGGAGTCTTTCTGGGCAAAGGGTTATCCCTTCATCAAAATTTTATTTTATTTTATTTATTTATTTATTTATTTATTTTTTGAGACGCAGTCTCGCTCTGTCGCCCAGGCTGGAGTGCAATGGTGCAATCTCGGCTCACTGCAACTTCCGCCTCCCGGGTTCACGCCATTCTCCTGCCTCAGCCTCCCCAGTAGCTGGGACTACAGGTGCCTGCGGCTTCACCCAGGTTTTTGTATTTTTAGTCCAGACGGGGTTTCACCGTGTTAGCCAGGATGGTCTTGATCTCCTGACGTCGTGATCTGCCTGCCTCAGCCTCCCAAAGTGCTGAGATTACAGGCGTGAGCCACCGCGCCGGGCCCAAAATTTCGTTTTTTGATTTTTTATTGTTTAATTTTTTTTTATTTCCATAGGTTATTGGGGAACAGGTGGTGTTTGGTTACATAAGTTATTTGTGACTTGTGAGATTCTGGCGCAGAATTTGTGACATCTCCCCTAGAAAGAAAAGAAGCAACAGGCTTGGGTATTAAGTTTAAATTCCATATGCGATCCGAGACCGTTTCCTTTCAGCTCCGGCCAGCTTTCCCAGAGCAGTTCCCGATGCTTCCTGCAGCAGCCAGTATTTCCCAAACTTACTGGTCATGGGAATAACCCAAGGCACTGGATGGATAAAATGAAAATTCAGATGCCTTGACCCCACCTCTGTGGACTCTGATTCCGGAAGTCTGAGCGGTGGTGTGGGGTAGGGGTGAGGGTGCCCCAGTTACCTGTATAATTGACAAGCGCAGGAGTCTGCAGAGAAACTGGGCTGGGATCGGTCACGGACTGTCCTGCCATGAGGCTTTTGCAGACAATGAGGTTCCCTTTTTCTAGAATTTGCGCTCACCCTACCCCCTCCATGGATAAATTCTTCCTTGTCCTTCAGTGTTCTATTCAGCACCCCGGCCAAATTTCTGTGTCAAAGAATTTCTGTGTCAAGGAATAGGCCAAATTTTAAACTTTTGATGGATGTTGGCAAATTGTCTTCCAAAATGTCTACCATGTCTACCGGTTTACACTTCCACCTTTTTGCTTTACTAAAACTTTTTTTCTCTATTACAAAAATGTTGCATATTAAATAGAGACAGTTTAGAGCATACAGATATGCAAACAAAGGGAATGTGGCCAGGTGCGGTGGCTCACGCCTGTAATCCCAGCACTTTGGGAGACCGAGGCTGGCGGATCGCCTGAGGTCAGGAGTTCAAGACTAGCCTGACCAACATGGTGAAACCCCCATCTCTACTAAAAATGTAAAAATTAGCCTGGCATGGTGGCGTGTGCCTGTAGTCCCAGCTCCTCGGGAGGCTGAGGCAGGAGAATCGCTTGAACCCGGGAGGTGGAGGTAGCAGTGAGCCGAGATTGCACCACTGCACTTCAGCCTGGGCAACAGAGTGAGATTCCATCTCAAGAAATAAAAGAAAAGAAACTAAAGGGAATGTGAGGAGCCTACAGTCCCGGCAAACAGTTTTGTAACCCTCAGTTAGGTGAATTCTTCCCATATTTTGTCTCTGCAGATGCACTTGGAAGTTTGACTTCAACTTGAGTCCCAGATTCACCTCTTACTAACTCCGTGGCCTTGGACAAGTAGCTTAATGTTTCTGAGTGTCTGTTTTCTCATCTATAAACTGAAGATGACGGTAGTATCGCATCAAAGGCTGTCACAGGATGCGTGGCATTTAGCCAGTGCCTGGCATGTGACACTCTCAGGGCACTGTCCTATGACATTGTTTGCACCTTGCTTTCTTACTCCAGCAATACATCCAAACGTCTTCCTTTTGTAGCAAGGGGACACTTCTAACCCCAGTCTTTTATAGGAACCTTGTGTCTATAGCTCCAACCTTAGACCATCAGTACCACCAGTGGTGTTTTGTTGGTGTCAAATTTTCACCTGGTCCCACTCAGCCTAGCTACAACTTCCTCTTCCCCCACCTGCCTGCCCCCATCTTAGTCACCTCATCTGTTCTCTGAGGCCCCCAGATAGAAGCCACCAGAACACCTCCCTCTCCCTCCACAGTTAACTGGGTTTCAAGCAATTCTGTTATTTCACTTTAACAGGACAGAATGGAGTCAGACAGACCTCCCTTTTTGTGCTGACCCTGTTACTTACACAGTGTGTGACGGTGAGCAGCTATCTCTCTTCCCTGAGCCTCAGTTTCTTCATCTGTAAGATGGAGCGATAGCAGACCTGTCACGTGGGGCTGCGGCTCTGATGGCGAAATGAGACGGCTCTAGTGAGTGTGCAGCACCGTGTGATCACAGGGCCAGTGCTCCACACGCACAACTGCAATTGCACCACTGCTGTGTGACCCCCGTCTCGCTCACTGCAGCCCTGGCTGTCATTCCAGCCCTGTTTGCAGCACTGACATGACCTCCTAACGTGTCCCCACCTTCAATCTTTCCCAGGACAAATTTCAGTGTGTCACCAGGATGACTTTCCCAAGGCATATCTGGAGCAGGTCACTCTCTGCTCAAGACTTAGAGGGCTCACAGTCCCTACCATTGAACACCTGGAGGTGTCCCAGCCCCCTACGGCTTCCACAGGCCCCGTGGCTCTGGATACAGAGTCAGTTTCCAGCCTGGGACAGAGCTGTGCTCAGATCTTCCCACCCCTCTCTGTGAGTGCCCTCCACCTGCACGGAGACTGTTTCTCATTATCCCAGCAGCCCCCGCTGGGCTCAGACATCCCTCCTGGAGTTTGCATTTCCGGGTCCCCTCCGGGTCCGGCTCCCCTGAGCAAATACTTGGTGCACTGTCCACTGCCCACGCATCCTGCTCCACAGGGCTCTGTCTCCACCATGGCCCTGCAGCCTCTTGAGAGCAGATGCCCGTTCTGTTCACTTTTGCATCCTCTCTGCACCCCCAGCTTCCCTCTGCAAGCTTGAAATGCTTGTTCACTCTCCTGCTAATAAATAACGTTTTTCTCGAATTTAGATGTATAAAAGTTGATCCGCGGGCCAAAGGGTTTACATAGATCATTTACCTTTCCTGTGACTTATTCCAAGATGCCGAGGACAAAGAATTTTAAAAACCGCAATGCCCATCACTGGAACTGATGTAGCCATAGATGCCTCTGACACATGTGTTAGGAAACACACCTATATTGAATGTCACATGCCTCTTTTGTGATTGTGAGATGCGCATCGAACACATATACATGGTTCTTATCTATGGAAAGGCAGGAAAGGAACCACAACAGTGTGTGCCCTCTGTCCCTCGGGGGCAGGAGAATCGTGCCCTAGCACACGCAGAGGGCGGGGCTCAAACGTGCACGCTTGCCTTTCTTTCCTAAAACCATGCATCAAGCCTATTTGTTTAGTCCTGTTCTGAAAGATGATGCAACATGACTCGAAAGGAAGTGGGCAGCTGCCTTGCTGCGGCGAGGTAAGGAATGTCACGTCGCTCAAATGTGCTTCGCATTCCCAGAAATATGCCGCAGCTGAAAGGGAGGAGGATGACTCAGTGTTCCTCTAACTTTCGACACATCCACCACAGAGCCTGACCAGCGCTAAAGAGGGCAAGCCGGCAGAAAGTCCAGCCAGGGCGAGTTGCCAACACCGCACTCCCCGCCTCCCCGGGAGGCTGCTATGGCATTTGGGGTGCAGAGCCCAACCGAGTCAACCTGGTGTGCTTTTTTTTTTCAAGCTGGAATAACAGGGCCGTAGGTCCACGTTGTGTTCACGTGTTCTTAGGCAGCAGATGTCTGTAGAGGGGTACTTAGGGGAGGAAACGAGGGTGGAGGTGGCCTGTCCAGACTCTGCGAGTTTTCCAGCTGTGGTTCTGATAATTTCTTTTGCCCAAGTGGGGGTCTTTGTCCTTAGAACAGGATCTTTTAATAACACTCCTCCCTTCTTTTTTTTTTTTTTTTTTTTTTTTTTTTTTTGAGACCGAGTTTCACTCTTGTTGCCCAGGCTGAAGTGCAGTGGCACGATCTCAGCTCACCACAACCTCCACCTCTTGGGTTCAAGTGATTCTCCTGCCTCAGCCTTCCTGAGTAACTGGGATGTTCCAGAGAGTTCCACCTCTTCCTCCCCAGGCAGAGCAGCCTGGTACCTCCACACCCCGCCAAGAGTCGATCTCAGCATTTCCCAAACTCACTGTCGCTGGAACGATCTCTGCTCCAGACTCCATGCTTTTTGGGGATGTGGCAACTAAACTGGTAAAGAGGCCTGCTCCCTGCGCCGCCTGCCTGGGTGCTGGGTGCTGGGTGCTGGGTGCCTAAAGCCCTTGCAGGTGATGGCGAGGCAGTGGAGCGGGGCACCTGAGGTGCTGGGTTCAGGAGCTGCACAGCCCTGGGCTGGCTCCAGCTCCCCATTTTCTGGGAGTGAGAGTCGGAGGCTGGGATGCAGAGTCTCTCCCTCCAGGCTTCACTCTCTGCATCTGAAGGCCAGGAATGATAACAGCACCTGCCTCAGGGGTGGTCAGGACAAAATAACTGCATGGTTTTGTGAAGTACCTAGAAGGGTGCTGGATGCCATGATTCTTTTTTTTTTTTTTTGAGATGGAGTCTCGCTCTGTTGGCCCAGCTGGAGTGCAGTAGCGTGATCTCGGCTCACTGCCTCCACCTCCCAGATTCACGCCTCAGCCTTCCTTCCGAGCACCTGGGACTACAGACTCTCGCCACCATGCCTGGCTAATTTTTGTATTTTTAGTAGAGAAGGGGGTTTCACCATGTTGGCCAGGTTGGTCTTGAATTCCGGACCTTGTGATCCACCCGCTTCAGCCTCCCAGAGCTCTGGGATTACAGGCGTGAGCCACTACACCTGGCCTCATGATTCTTAATAAATGAATTAACACCAAGGTTGCCTCCCTGGAGAATGTTCACTACTAGGTGGTGCCTTCACATGTGGGGTTTGCCATCTCATGGCTTCATGGGCTTGAGTCTTGCCCCACGGTGTCTCTAAGAGTTAAATCCGTGACCTCCACCAAAACTGAGCATGAGATACTCACTGAGTCCAGCAAAGAGCAGAGACCAGAGTCAAATTAAGAGAAAGAGACTCAGAAGGCACGGGAAGGAACGTCGATGTTGTCAGAAAAACCATATTCCACATAAATCCTCCTATTCACCAAACGAAAGATTCAGATGACAGGGGAGGGGCCACTTGCAGACCCTTTCCCACATCTCCCAGCAGAGTGTCCATCCTAAGGGGGAAATCAACGTTAAGAAATGACATTGGCTGGGCGCGGTGGCTCACACTTGTAATCCCAGCACTTTGGGAGGCGGAGGTGGGCAGATTCTTGAGCCTGGGGGGTTTGAGACCAGTCTGAGCAGTAAAGTTAAATCCCATCTGTACAAAAAATATAAAAATTAGCTGGGTGTGGTGGTGTGCACCTGCAGTCCTGGCTACCGAGGAGGCTGAGGTGGGGGAACCACTTGAGCCCAGGAGGTCAAGGCTGCGTTGAGCCGTGATGGCACCTACACTCCAGCCTGGGTGACAGACCCAGGTGAAGAACTTGTCTCAAATAAAAAATAAAAAATAAGAGAGAGAAAGGATAAAAAAGATATTTTTAACCCTCTAACCTGAGAATTCTTCCAGATACAACTGAGATAGAGTCCACCCCCAAATTCCTCCGCCACCCAGGGCACACAGCAGTCAGGAATGGAGAGGCTCCCCTCAGCGGAGGCTTTGGCCAAACATGAAACTTGCATTCTTTTTTCTTTCTTCTTTCTTTTCTTCTCTTTTTCCTTTTTTTCTTCCCCAGATAGAGACAGGGATTCACCATGTTGCTCAGGCTGGTTGCCAACTTCTGGACTCAAGGGAACCGCCCACCTTGGCCTCCCAAAGTGTTAGAATTACAGGCATGGGCTACTGTGCCCAGCCCCAAGGCTTGCATTCTCCCCGGCCTTCGAGTATCTTTCACCTCTGGAGCCATTGCAGACATCCAAGTGGCTGCTCATCTCTGGCCAGGCTTCCGCGGCCTATGGCCAATGTGGATGCACAGACCCTTGCCCTCAGAGGGGCCCGCCCAGGGGGTTTAATTCTCTGCAATTGCCCTCTTGGACTTCTTTTTTTCTGAGACGGAGTGTTGCTCTGTCACCCAGGCTGGAGGCCAGTGGTGCGATCTCGGCTCACTGCAACCTCTGCCTCCTGGGTTCAAACGATTATCCTGCCTCAGCCTCCCGATTAGCTGGGATCACAGGCGCATGCCACCATGACCGGCTAATTTCTGTATTTTAGTAGAGATAGGGTTTCACCATGTTGTCTAGGCTGATCTCGAACTCCTGACCTCAGGTGATTTGCCCACCTTGGCCTCCCAAAGTGCTGTAATTACAGATGCGAGCCACGCACCCGGCCCCTCTCGGACTTCTTAATACTTTTCTTTCTGACTTTGTGGTTTGTAAATGAAGTCCAGTGGGATGAGGGATCTGGTGGCAGTGGGGCAGGGGCTGGGGGGATCAAGAACATTTAGGGTTTCAGGGTTAGGACTCAGGCGCCCTGCCCCAGGGCACCTGAGTCTGTGAGATTCCCAGAGATGTCTTTGAGGACCCGCCGCTCCCGCCCCCCACCCCGTCCCAGGGAGCACACCATTCAATCGCAAAGAAAAACCAGCATGACAGGCGAAGGGAGGACAGGAAAAAGCTTTTCTCCAGCTTTTGGAACCAGGAGTCCCATATTGTCTGGTTGCATGGGGCCTGGCAGTGACGTCACTGGCTCTGCCTTTGGCCCCAACACATCCTCCAGTGTGTGTCTCTCACCTGCACGGGCTCTCCAGGCCGATGCATTGGGATCCTGACTTTTAGAGTTTTGTGTGTGACAAAGCAGAGGACAAGCTTCCCCATCACCCAGAGGCCACTTGGTGGAGGGAGCCAGGGGACTCACTGGCTTCTTGGGCTTTTGTAGTCATGGGCTGGCCACCGAAGCCCAAGGCCAACTGTCACCTACTCCAAGTCTTGACATCCTCACCTGCAAAAAGCAATGAGGCAACATGATTTTTAAGATGTTTTCTGGCTCTACAAATATCTGACGATTCTGAGTACACGATAAGGCTCACTTTCTGCTCAGGAAAACCTGGTGCTGGAGAGAACACAGGATCCCCCAGTTTCCTAACACCAGCCTGGGGAAATGATGTTCTTTTGACTATGAAAATTTCTAGGGCCAGGGGTGGTGACTCACACCTAGAATCCCAACACCTCAAGAGGCCAAGGTGGGAGGATTGCTTGAGGCCAGGAGTTCAAGACCAGCCTGGGCAACATAGTGGGACTCCATCTCTACAAAAAATAAAAATAAGCCAGGCAGGATGGTGTGTGCTCGTAGTCCCAGTTATGTAGGAGGCTGAGGTGGGAGCATTGCTTGAGCCCGGGAGATTGAGGCCGCAGTGAGTAGTGATCGTGCCGCTACACTGCAGCCTGGGTGACAGAGTAAGACCCTATCTCAAAAAAAGAGAGAAAATTTTAGAATTGATGGCAGTGGAAAACAATGCAAAGGTCCCTATGTTTTGAGGTGCATCCTATGATCCAGATTTATCTTAGGAGAAATTTCATAGCATCTCAGATCCTAGGCTTGGTGGACAATGAGAGGGGAGGTTAATAAATATTCCGTCTGCCATTGGGAGGGTAGATTAAAGAAGCTAATATATAAATCAGAAATATTTATAACTAATAAATCCTACCAAAACCCTCACTGTGACAATGGGCCATAATTTTTGTTCTCTTTTAAAACTGCTATTATCAATCAGGCACTGTGGCTCATGCCTGTAATCCCAGCACTTTGGGAGGGTGGGGCGGGTGGATCACCTGAGGTCAGGAGTTCAAGACCAGCCTGGCCAACATGGCGAAACCCCGTCTCTACTAAAAATACAGAAATTAGCTGGATGTGGAGGTGAGCGCCTGTAATCCCAGCTCCTTGGGAGGCTGAGGCAGGAGAATCGTTTGAACCCGGGAGGTGGAGGTTGCAGTGAGCCAAGATCACACCACTGTACTCCAGCCTGGGTGACAAGAGTGAAATTCCGTCTCAAAAACAGCAAAAAACAAAAAAACAAAAACTGCTATCATTGGGGGATAAATGGAAAACACGAGATGTAATTCATTGTTGCGTCCTGCGTTAGCTAACATCTTGTTGACGCAGAGCCCACCTCGTGCTGACAGCTGCACGAGGTTCATGCACACTGTTTATTTTATTTTATTTTGAGACGGAGTCTGGCTCTTATTGCCCAGGTTGGAGTGCAGTGGCACGATCTCGGCTCACTGCAACCTTCACCTCCCGGGTTCAAGTGATTCTCCTGTCTCAGCCTCTTGAGCAGCTGGGATTACAGGCACGAAACACCAAGCCCAACTAATTTTTGTATTTTTAGTAGAGATGGGGTTTCACCATGTGGGTCAGGCTGGTCTTGAACTCCTAGGTTCAAGTGGTCTGCCTGCCTCGGCCTCCCAAAGTGCCGGGATTACAGGCATGAGCCACCATGCCCAGCCTCACGCACACTGGCTCTTACGTTAACATTCTCCCAGAGACCACAGAAACATGTTTAGAAAAGAAAGTTACAGATTGGCAGCAGAAGTCTCTGCTTCTGGATCATTATGTTAAGTCTAAAGACAATCAGAAAAGAAACCCTGCTCTGTGTCCCGGTCATTGTAGAAGTCCCCAGCATGGAGCTCTTCGGATGACACTACAATCCTATGGCCTCCAGGCAAATCCTTTTCTGAACTGAAAATGTGGTCTTTGGCCACTCCAAACCAACTCACCAAGCCTGGGGAATACAACCCACTTATATGTCCAAGACCTTCCTCTCATCCCAAGTTTATGCCAATTTCCACCCATCATCAAAATGTCCTAAACTTACTTTCCTTTTTTTTTCTTTTCAGTTGGTAGAGACAGGGTCTCCTTCTGTTGCCCAGGCTGATATCAAACTCCTGAGCTCAAGGGATCCTCCCGCCTCAGCTTTCCAAAGTGCTGGCATTTCAGGCATGAGTTACTGGGCCTAGCCTTACTTTACTTTTCTAAGAAACAGTATTATGACCTCATTAGTCAATAATACTTACCCACAGGGGAGGTACCACGATCACGAAGGTGGTTTCCCAGGGCGAGGCTCACACCCTGCACTCCGGATGGGCTGATCCCGGCCATTTCTCCAAATGTGGGAAACGCAACTGCATTATTTGTGGTAGTTAGGGACTGCAATTCACTCTCTCCCCTGGTTCTAAATAAATCTATATTTTTTAAAAAAAGGAATTGATTGGCTGGCCATGGTGGCTCACGCCTGCAATCCCAGCACTTTGGGAAGCCAAGGCAGGTGGATCAGAAGGTCAGGAGTTCCACACTAGCCTGGCCAATATGGTGAAACCCCAACTCTACTAAAAATACAAAAAATTAGCCAGGCGTGGTGGTGGGCGCCTGTAATCCCAGCTACTCGGGAGGCTGAGGTGGAAAAATCGGCTTGAACCCAGGAGTTGGAGGTTGCAGTGAGCTGAGATTGCACATGACAGAGCGAGACTCCATCTCAAAAAAAAAAAAAAGAATTGATCGATAGTTTTAAAATTGTGAATATAAACTTAGTAAACACACAGGACCGGCAATGATATTTAGTTGTGAGATTTCAACATCGTGATGCATATTTTCCATATTTCAGACGTCTTATTTGTGTTTTGGAAAAGGATTCTGATGAAATTGAGGATGTCAACATTTCCCTCTGGTGCCCTCCAATCGGATGAACGATCCTTCATGGTAAGGGTGTGACAGAGGCTGCTCTGTCTTGTTGCATACCAGGGCCTGATGCTCTGAGACAACTCACTGGGCCCCACTGGGCAGAACTGTCTTTTAGGGTAGAGAAGAGTTGGGATTTCAGAAATTCTCTTGCTTCAGAACGTTGGCTGGGCGTGGTGGCTCACGCCTATAATCCCAGCACTTTGGGAGGCTGCGGTGGGCAGATTGCCTGAGCTCAGGAATTCGTGACCAACCTGGGCAACACGGTAAAATGCTCCCCTCCAACTCTACTAAAATACAAAAAAAATTAGCTGGGCATGGCGGTGTGGGCCTGAAATCCCAGCTACTCGGGAGGCCGAGGCAGGAGAATCACTTGAACCCCAGAGGCAGAGGTTGCCGTGAACCGAGATCGCTTCACTGCACTCCAGCCTGGGCAACAAGAGGGAGACTCTGTCTCAAACAAACAAACAAACAAACAAAAACAGTGCCAGGCGAAGTGGTTCACGCCTGTAATCCCAGCACTTTGGGAGGCCGAGGTGGGCGGATCACGAGGTCAGGAGATGGAGACCATCTTGGCTAACACGGTGAAACCCCATCTCTACTAAAAATACACAAAATTAGCCGGGCATTGTGGCGAGCGCCTGCACTCCCAGCTACTCGAACGGCTGAGGCAGGAGAATCGCTTGAACCCGGGATGCGAAGGTTGCAGTGAGCTGAGATCGCGCCACTGCACTCCAGCCTGGGTGACAGAGCGAGACTCCATGTCAAAAAAAAAAAAAAAAAATAGCCATGAAGATATTTCCTCTTTTAATCTGAGGGTTTGGTCAGAGGTCCAAGATACCTTGACAGGAAGACAGAAGACAGAAGCTTCGACTTCAACCCTCAGGAACTTTCTCTAATTGTACAGTAGGTGCAGGAATCTGGAGGCAAATGTTTGTTGGAGAGCAAGAAGCCACTTTCTTCTCATCAAAGATGTGATTGGAAAAGATCCCAGGGTCTGCTTGGTTAAGAAGGAGCTAGCCAATTCCGGGATCAAAACTTCTCCCACTTTTCCCATCTTCTCACATTGTGGAAAAATAACTAAACCTTTGTGTCTATTGGTTTTCCCAAGTGCAAGGTCATAAAAATTATTTTAACTCATTTTATAGAACTGTTGCAAGGAAAACATCACCATGAGAAACACGTGAGAAGCTCTTTACTCTTAGCTAAAAGTCTCAGGAATGCTTCAGATTGCCAAGCACCAGGGGAAATGGTTGTGCAAAGTTTCAGCCCCCAGGCCAATCACCTGATTAGGATCTACTATCAGGGCATTCATAAGTGTCATATTTGGGGGCTCTTGTGAAATAAAAGCAAGAGGAAACCAGACCAGTGTGTCTTCATGCCAGAGCCAGAACTTTCTATAGGGTGGGGCTGAATAAGGAAGCCAAATCCTTTTCTCCCCTTCCTTGGCTCACGTCAGAAAGTATTTTTATTTGGTTCCATATACATTTTCTTTCTTCCCTTGGTCATGAATCAGAACATTTTATAGCTAAGAGGAGTTTTAGGGATATTCTAGTTGCTTCTCATTTTATAGACAGAGCAGGTCCTGGAGCCAAGTGGTACCCGGGTTTCCTGATTGAGATGCTGGTTCAAAGAGTCACTGAGGCCAGGCGAGGCAACTCATGCCTGTAATCCCAGCACTTTGGGAGGCCAAAGTGGGCGGATCACCTGAGGTCAGAAGTTCGAGACCAGCCTGGTCAATACGGCGAAACCCCGTCTCTACTAAAAATACAAAAATTAGCCAAGTGTTGTAGTGCACACCTATAATCCCAGCTACGCAGGAGACCGAGACAGGAGAATGGCTTGAATCTGGGAAGCGGAGCTTGTAGTGAACTGAGACTGCACCACTACACTGTAGCCGGGGCAACAGAGTGAGACCCTGTCTCAAAAAAACAAAACAAAAACAAAGAACAAAGAGTCGCTGAGCTCAACCGAAGCGCAGTCCTGAACCTCTCTGATAGTCGTCGCACATCAGTCAGTTGACTGATGTTCCCTTGACTAGAGTCTAAAAGCCCTCTGGACTTCTAACCCCACGTTTCGGGCTGAGTCAGCTGCCTTCTAAACTCCTTCTAGCACAGAACAGCTGGTCCCTGTGCCCGGTCATGTGGCCCCTGATTCCTGATGATGAGAGGATCAACTTCACCGGTGGTCAAGGTAGGAGCAGGGCCACCAGGCTGCCTGGGGCTGAGTCCTGCCTCTTTAGAATACCAGCCCTGTGACCTGGGCGGGTTACTAAACTTCTTTGTGCCTCAGTTTCCTCATCTGTAAAATGAGGGTAATAATAGGCGATAATAGTTCCTGTCTCATAGGATTGTTTGGAGGTTAAATGTGTTAGTTCACGTAAAAGTACCTAAAACTGTCCGGCACAGAGGACATGCTCAAGAGTGGCTATTTATCTTTCATCTTCGCACACATCTGTCAAAGGACGGGGCAGAGCACCCTTGACAGGACCTCACCAGGACCTTATGCAGGCAGAGGACACACTGTCTTCTGAGTCAGGTCTTTCCATTTTTGGATGGCTCTGACTAAGAGAATTCCTCCTGTGTTCCGCCAAAATCCACCTCCCACTCATCGGTTCCAGCTCTGCCAGAAGGCAAATGTCAAAAAAATAATCTTGAAAGAGAAGACATAGAATGTAAATAATAATGATAGAATTGGGTTGAGGAACGACAGCCACCCCTGCAGCAGCGCCTCCGACAGCTCTCAGCCCAGAGTCGAGCCCAGGCTGCAAAGACCTTTGAGTTCCATTTGAAAAATACCAAGCTCTTACTTCTCCGCTTCCTTTAGAAATGCATAAAACAGCTTCTCTCACCGTTCTTTTCATACGTGCTGCCACACTGGTATGAGATTGGGGGAAAAGTCACTCTGCTTATGCAAAGGTGACAGTCACAAGGGTTGTGGAGTGGTGACCTCGCCTGGCTCACTACGTGCCATCCAGCCTGAATCACTGCGCATGGGAGTCGGGGGTGCTGGCCAGGCGCACGTCCCACCTCCTGTTTACAGAGCCTTTCTGACGTCACATGTAAAATCACAACCTGTGAGTCCCTTTCCTGCCATCCCCGGCATGGTTATTTGACACTGGGGCATGTTCTTGTTATAAGAAAAATGCAGAGAACAAGGTGCATTTGATAGCTTAGCTCTCTGACTATTTCAAGTCTATATCAATTAAAACTTAGGCCTCCTGCGTCAGCTGCTTGGGGCCAGGAAGGAGTGAATGGGTCCCACGGCACTCAGGTGCAAGAATTGTCGCATGATGTTTCTAAATCAAAGGTCATCTGGCTTTGGTGTCCTGCAGAAAAAGGTGGGTGGCAATGTCAGCCACTATAAGGTAGCTTTGTCCCTCCAACTCTTCATCCAAGAGACTGGAACAGAGGAAGGGGCCTCGTTTCTAGGGCACGGCGGCCGCCTCCATTTCCCTGGCTTCTCGGCTGAGCACCGTGTCGTCGTGGGCCCTGGGGAATCCCAGAGCATTTCCAGAGTTCTCCAAGGACCTGACCCCAGAAGACCCAGATGTCCCTCTCAAAGTCGAGCAGCCTTACAGGTATCTGCAGCCCCCACCCTTCCCAGCAAGGCTGCTGTGTGCAGTGGGGCCTTCATTCCATTCCCAGCGTCCGCTCCCCAAACCCCTGCACACAAGCTCTCAGCCAGACCTGCCCTCTGCCACCTCGCCAGGGGACAGTCCCATTAATCTTCCACCAGAGGCCTAAAATAAAAAAAGCTTCTTACCTCCCTGACCCCAAGGAGTATTTATAAGAAGCTGAGACCTTTTGAAATCACCCCGAGGGAGAGGGAGGGATGGGGAAAGGAAAGGCTCCGCATTTCTCAGAGGCCGGGGCAGGGCAGGGCCACAGCAAAGAAACAAAACACCAGGGTTCTGCTCAGGGATTCTCTGTACCCTCATCCAGTGCCTGCGTTCCATTCAAATTAGCGAAGACTGTCAAGACCCTGGGAAGTCCATGTTATTATTCCACCTTTGGGTTCCGGTGACAATCAAGATCACCCTGGTCCGGGCATGGTGGCTCACGCCTGTAGTCTCGACACTTTAGGAGACTGAGGTAGGAGGATTATTTGAACTCAGGAGTTCAAGACCAGCCTGGGTAACATGGCAAAACTCCCGTCTCTACTAAAGATGCAAAAAATGAGCCGGGTCAGGTGGTGTGTGCCTGTGGTCCAAGCTACTCAGGAGGCTGAGATGAGAGGATCACTCGAGTCTGGGAGGTGGAGGTTGCAGTGAGCAGGGGTGGTGCCACAGCACTCCATTTGGGGCAACATAGCGAGACCCCGACTCAGGAAAAAAAAAAAAAGTTTACCCTGAGCATAACTTCCAGGCAGGCCAGTTCCACGGGATCAAGGGACATCCCATGAAGTCAGCACTCCTGACCCCAGGGCACAGCCTGGCCCATCACTCTGGACACTCCGTCCTCTCTAATACTGGGCTGAGGCAGGGCAGCCTCAGATCTTCACAGCTCAGAAAGAAATAACTGATTTGATTGAGACACATTTTGTGTTTCTTGCATTTTAAATGTGAGGTAGTGCCTATGGGAAGTCCTCCTCCCTGTCCTTCATTCCTTGACCTCAGGTAACTGAAAAAACTGGAGTCCCCCAGAGGGCCTGTCCGGTCCCCCAGGAACTCCTGCTCTCTGACTCTGCAAACCCCTACCTCCCAGAGCCTCCGGGTGCAGCAGGGTCGGGCTCACCTTCCCGCTCCTCTGGCCCCTTTGCTCCAGGGCCCTTTCTCCTCCCCACTCTCCGCACACACACATCCAAAGGTTCTGACCTTGGCCCTCCTTCCCTGACTCGCCACCACTTTTAGTTTACTGAGGGCCTGAACTCCTTCCTGAATCAACAAGGGCTGCTGACTCACCGTGTGGAGGGCCGTCCTGAGCACCCGACCCTCTCGCCACCGGAGAGCCCTTTCCGACCTGTCCCAGCTGCATGTTCACCAAGCTCGTTCCAGGGGCGCCTCCAGATACCCTCTCCATTCCCAAGTCACAGAAGGCTCCTGGGAGACACAGGGTCCGGTCCTCCCACCATCATAGACTCAAGCTGCTGGTGTTGGCCAATCCTTTCATTCACCTTCCATTTTCCACCTAGCAAAATCCCCCAGCTCCTATTATGGGTGGTCTTCCGCGTGGCTTCCGAGGCCGCCGTCCACTGTCCTCCTCAGAAAACTACACACGGGACCCAGCAACGGAGCCCTCAGACAGCACAGGCCCTAAGCCTGCTCCATTCAGCTCAACATATTGCTGCTTCTCCATCATCTTTTTTTACTTCCAGTCTGGGGAAGGCCAAGATCATTTCCTCTCCTACAGGCTCTGCCCTCCACCTTCTCGGACCCTTTGCTTTTTTTTTTTTTTCTGAGACCGAGTTTCGCTCTTGTTTTCCAGGCTGGAATGCGATGGCACGATCTCGGCTCACTGCAACCTCCACCTCCTGGGTTCAATTGATTCTCCTGCCTCAGCCTCCCAAGTAGCTGGGATTTCAGGCATGCACCACCCACCCCCAGCTAATTTTGTATTTTTAGTAGAGACAGAGTTTCACCATGTTGGTCAGGCTGGTCTCAAACTCCTGACCTCAGGTGATCTACCCGCCTCAGCCTCCCAAAGTACTGAGATTATAGGCGTGAGCCACCGTGCCCGGCCAGACCCTTTGCTTAATCTCAGCTGGACCACTGATGACCTGTGTGGCCTCAGTCTCTCTGAGCCTGAGATTCTACACCTGCAAAGGGGGAACATCCCACAATAAGAACCCAGAAATCATCACGCAAAGTGTGCACCACTGAGCCTTGTGCAGAGAAGTGTTTAATCCACGGGAGCTGTAATAATGATTGTGATGGTGACGAACTTTCCCTGATAACCCATGGATCAATCCAGAAGGTCTCTCCTTTCCCTCCGTGACATGGACACTTGCAGGCAGACAGAGTGCGGCCATACCAGCTGTGGCACCGCCCGCACTCCAACACCGTTACACACATAAGATCAAGTTAAGCTGTTTCCACCTCCTGCGGTTGAAAACGCTTTCTTCCCTCCTTGGTGTCCACAAACTCCCTATTACTTGACTCTTCCAATTGTTCGTGGTGTGCAGAATGGCAGAGCTTGGGAAGATGATGGCCCTAGCTCTAAATGCTCTGCCCGTCTTCCCCACACCTGTTTCTGCTGGAGAGACTGCTGGGATTTCGTTGAGTATCTACTGTGTGCCAGGCACTATGCTAGATGGTGATGATGAAGATGAAGGAGGAGGAAGAGGAAGAAGGAGGAGAAGGGAAGGCGGAGAAGGGGAGGAGTAAAGTGGGGGAGAGGGCCCTGAGCACTTTCTTTTTTTTTGAGATGGAGTCTCACTCTCGTCGCCCAGGCTGGAGTGCAGTGGTAATCTCGGCTCACTGCAACCTCTGCCTCCTGAGTTCAAGCGATTCTCCTGCCTCACCCTCCCAAGTAGCTGGGACTACAGGTGCATGCCACCATGCCTGGCTAATATTTATATTTTTTGTAGAGACCGGGTTTTGCCATGTTGGCCAGGCTGTTCTCAAACTCCTGACCTCAAGTGATCCGCCCTCCTCGGCCTCCCAAAGTGCTGGCATTGCAGGCGTGAGCCACCGTGCCCAGCCTACTGAGCACTTTCTACGTGCCCGGCACTGTCCTGAGCGCTTTACACATAAGGACTCATTGGATTCTCATAACAGACCCGTTTACCTCTCAGAAAACTCCAGATCAGGTACAGCCACCATCCTCATTTTACAGCTGCACAGACGGGCGAAGCTGCTCGAGGTCATGCAGCTTGTGAGCGGAGAGGCCGGTGCTGATCCCAGTGTGCCCCTGTGATCCCAGTCTGGACGCCCAGTCCCTGCAGTGGCAACAAGGCACACCCTGACCCTGGGATCACTTTTCATGGAGAGGACAGGAGACACCAGGATGTGGACGCTTGCTTTGAAGTCACAGAGCCAGGCACTGGGAGACCGCATCTCCGCCCCCGTGGGGACCAGCAGGTGGGGAGCTGTGGTTAGACTCGGACCTGAGAGAGAGGAAGGCGCCTGTACAAGGTGCGGGCAGAGGAGCTTCGGGTGAGGAGGGGTGCATGACTCAGCACTCGGCCATCCTGGATCAGGGCCCAGGCCCGCCAGAAAGCTGCAGGGATGGGTGATGAAATTCAAGTGTGGATTGTGGGCTGGATAAGGGCATTCTCTTTATGTTGAATTTCCTGATTTTGATCATTATACTGCTTGTATAAGAGAATATCTTTTTTTTTTTTTTTTCGAGACAGTGTCTCACTCTGTAGCTCAGGCTGGAGTGATCCTCCCACTTCAGCCTCCCGAGTCCTGGGACCACAGGCAGGTGCTGCCACGCCCAGCTCATTTTTCTGTGTTTTTGTAGAGATGGGGTCTCGCCATGTTGCCCAGCCTGGTCTTGAACTCCTGGCCTCAAGCAATTCTCCTGCCTTAGTATTGGGAATTACAAGCATGAGCCACAACACCCAGCTGAGAATATATATATATATATATATATAAAATATATATATATATATATACACACACACACACATATATATATTTTTTAATAAAAAATATTTTCTTTCTTTAGAGAGCAAGAAATCATCGGCTGAGAATATCTTAATTCTTAGGAAATATGCACCGAAGTCTCGAGGGCCACAGAGCCTTCGAATCCCTCTCAAATGATACAGAAAATATATGAAAAGAGAAAGAAAAAGAGAATGTCCAGATGCAGTCGCTCATGCCTATAATCCCAGTTGGGCGTGGTGGTGTGCACCTGTAGTCTCAGCTACTTGGGAGGCTGAGGTGGGAGGATTGCTTTAGCCCAGGAGGCAGAGTTTGCAGTGAGCTGTAATCTGCCACAGCACTCCAGCCTGGGGGAAGGAGCCAGACCTTGTCTCAAAAACAAAAACAAAAACAAAGGAAAGAAAGAGTGAAAGAACTCCCTCCTCCCCCTCCTGCTCTCCTTCTCCTTCCTTTCTTCTTCCTCTCTCTCATCTTCATGTTACTCCTCCTCTTCCTCCTTCTTCCTCTCTCTCATCTTCATGTTACTCCTCCTCCTCCTCCTTCTTCCTCTCTCTCATCTTCATGTTACTCCTCCTCCTCCTCCTTCTTCATCTCTCTCATCTTCATGTTATTCCTCCTCCTCCTCCTTCTTCTTCTTTTTTTTTTTTTTTTTTTTGAGACAGGATCTTGCTCTATCGCCCAGGTTGGAGTGCTGTGGCGGGTCATGGCTCGCTGCAGCCTTGACCTCCCAGACCCAAGCGATCCTCCCACCTCAGCCTCCAGAGTAGTTGAGATGCCAGGTGTGCACCACTATGCTTGGCTAATTTCTTTATTATTTGTAGAGACCAAGTCTTCCTATGTTGCCCAGGCTGGTCTTGAACTCTTTTGCTCAAGTGATCCTCTGGTCCTGGCCTCCCAAAAGTGCTGGGATTACAAGCATGAACCACCGCACCCCATCTCCTTCTTCATTTTTGCCTAGCACCATGCCTGGCATATAGTAGATACTCAATAAAATCTCTGTTGGATGACTGAGTTTAGGCTGAGGGAGAGGGAGAAGAGGGAGGCAGGGAAGGAGAGAGCAGGAATGTCTGGGTCCTTCTTAAGCTCTCATTTGAGTGTCCTCATCCATTCTCCTGATGGTAACTTTTCACTGCCAGAATGGTGACTCCTAAATCCACACCTCCAGGTTGGCCATGCCAAACCTATATTTAGAATTATTTGGCAGAGGGCACATCCTTCATACCCCACCATTATCAGTGGGTTCAGTGACCCAAACTTACCCTTCCTCTTTCTTCCCAGCCAACCCTATTTTGCCCAGGTCCCTCACCATTCCTGCAGGCTCCCAGAAACCTCTAGAAACGAGGATTCCTGCAGTGGCCTCCTGTGGGGGCAATGTGAACCCCCATCCACGGTCCTTAGATTTGCAGACATTTACAGCCAGTCTCATTTTCCTGTTACATGCTGCTCTCCTGCTACTTAAGAATATATTCCCATTCATCGCTCTCTCCTTTCTGATTTTTTCTCACAAGTCCATTTATTTGTTTATTTATTTATTTAGTTTTTGAGACAGAGTCTCGCTCTGGAGTGTAGTGGTGAGATCTCAACTCACTGCAACCTCTGTCTCTCGGGTTCAAGTGATTCTCCTGCCTCAGTCTCCCGAGTAGCTGGGATTATAGGTGTGCGCCTCCATACCCAGCTAATTTTTGTATTTTTAGTAGAGACGGATTTCACCATGTTGGCCAGGCTGGTCTTGAATTTTCAACCTCTGATGCTCCACCCGCCTTGGCCTCCCAAAGTGCTGGGATTACAGGTGTGAGCCACCACGCCCAGCCTTCATTTTTGTATTTTTAGTAGAGATGGGGTTTCACCATATTGGCCAGGCTGGTCCCGAACTCCTGACCTCTAGTGATCTGCCCGCCTCACCCTACCAAAGTGCTGGGATTACAGGCAGAGCCACTGAGCCCGGCTCACAAGTCCTTTTCTTCTCTTCCAGCTGTATCAAAGTCCTTGGAGGCAGGCACGAATCCTGTCCTGGGTCCCTCTTGATCGCCCATGGTGCCTTGCGCATGGTTGCATGCAGATAGGTAGCAGCAGGAGTTAGTTGATACCTACTCGATTCATTGGTTTTTCCTGATTTCTGAGTAATTCAGTTATACCAAAAGAAATTCTCATGCTTACCTTACGTTGACATTAGATGGGAAGGAAAGGACGGGATTGGGACCCTAGGCTGTTTAGGGTTCCTCCTTGGGCGTGCCCTGAGGGTGGAGGCAACAGCCTTTATGATCACCCAGGAGGGTCTCTGAACGCGGGGAACTCAAGGCTCATTCTGGGTGGCTCCTATATTTTAATGTTTCCCAAAGAAAAGGTTCTAAAAAGGATGACATTGCTTTTGGAATATACATTTATTTCTGCAAATGTTCCAAAACCCCAGCTTGGTTTAAAGCATACACCCTCATTGTATTCCTAGTTCCCAGCCCAAGACACGCATTTTTGATATCATAGCAAACAGCGATAGATTCTATTTCTAGTTGCTTTAAAAACAAGTCTCATGGCCGAGTCACTGTTCAAACAAGGAAGGGCTGGGTGAATAAGCCTCCTTATGTCATCTTGAGTAACGTCATCGTTGCTAAATGTCTCACAACCCCCAATCCCATATATTTAATTCCCTCTCTTGCTATTTCATCATTTAAGTCCCTAAAGGAGAGAATGATGTAACACCCAACACGCACCAGAGTCGCCTTTTGGAGAAGCAGCATCTAGCAGGGGCAGAATGCTGTGGCCAAGTTTGCTTAGGCAAATATTCAGATATCTGTTGTCGTTCAAGTTTCCATCTGAGATGCAGGTTCCTAAATGGGTTTCATAGAGGTTTGGATCTCTCTCTTCCATCTGTTTGAAGTTTTGAACTTCAAAGCACTCTTCCAGCCCACACAAGATGTATGTGATAGAGGCTCTGTATCATCAGGGGATAGGTACCAAAGCATTTATATCCTCCCAGAACCACAATAATACTATCCAGGACCACTCACTGGGAGCAGACTTTAAAAAAACTATAATGTAAACTTCCTGTTGCAATTTTAACCAGTTTCCTCTTGTCTGGTTCTCAGGGGAGATGGTAAACAGTTCATCTGAGCTTTCTGAACAATGGTTTCGCCTCTCTATAGGAACGTAACATGGCCGACCCTTCTCTAGGCCATCTGTGTGGGGCTGTTTGTCCAGGTGCAATGCATTTTTTCTCGTTAATTCACAAGCTCTTCTCTGGTCCCTTTCGAAATCAGGACATCTACTGGCAACTCACGGATCCAGGGGAGGGAAAAGCGTCTTGGTCCTAGAGGGGGCTTCAAACTGTGATTTATGATCACCTTCGCCTTTCCCATCAATCACTGTGCAAACTTGGGAATGTGAGCAAGGAGGGAAACACATCACTGTAAACAGCTTTCTAGTGCGGTGAGATTTCTGAGTTATAAAATATAAACTAACAACAGTGACATCATGTTGCATATCGTAGACAGTCAACATTAACTTTATTTTTCAGATATTTATTTATTTATTTTTTCGAAACAGGGTCTCACTCTGTCACCCAGGCTGGAGTGCAGTGGCACGGTCTCAGCTCACTGCAACCTCCACTTCCCAGGCTCAAGTGATTCTCCTGCCTCAGCCTCCCAAGTAGCTGGGACCACAGGTGCACACAACCATGCCCAGCTAATTTTTGTATTTTTAGTAGAGATGGAGTTTCACTATGTTGGCCAGGATGGTCTCAAACTTCTGACCTCAGGTGATCCGCCTGCCTCAGCCTCCCAAAGTGTTGCGATTACAGGGGTGAGCCACCTTACTCAGCCTCCAGATTTTTTTTTTTTAATAAGAAGAAAAACTTTATTTCAAACAGGCTCACTGGTGTTTATGCTACAGCAAAGGCTGGTTGTAACAGGCAGTTTCACTACAAACCTGCACTGATTGACAAATCTGAAACTATTTAGCAATGATCAGTTTCTGCTAAAGTGTAGATTAAATCTATCAATATGTCAACTTTGACATTTATTATGGACCTTACTATTTACTAGGAGAGGTTAATTTTTTTTTTTTTGAGACAGAGTCTTACTCTGTTGCCCAGGCTGGAATGCAGTGGCGAGATCTCAGCTCATTGCAACCTCTGCCTCCCAGGTTCAAGTGATTCTCCTGCCTCAGCCTCCCTGGTAGCTGGGATTACAGGCGCCACCATGCCTGGCTAAATTTTGTATTTTTAATAAAGACGGGGTTTCACCATGTTGGTCAGGCTGATCTCGACCTCCTGACCTCAGGTGATCCACTTGCCTCGGCCTCCCAAAGTGCTGGGATTACAGGCTTAAGCCACCACACCCAGCACAGGTTAAATTTTTATCACACACACAAAAATGAGAATAATCTAACAGTTTCTACTAAGGTAATGAGCTGTGACATGTATTCCCCATTATTGCTTTGAAAATATACCCGTAGGTTGCTAAGAAAAATTCTGACGTCATCCCAATACATATTTAACTGACCATCAGCTTGATGGCCAGTCCTCTTCTGGCTGACTTGAACCAGTGAA